AGTCCATATTCAATAATCATGTTTAATTCACTGAGTCTTTTACTTAGACCATGGGGAGAAAACGGGAACCTCATGCGTGAAGTGCCTGCGGTCACTGCACCTGACTATCAATGGATGTGTTCAGATATGAATTCCCAGAGACAAACATGCCCTGTAAACCAGAGGGACCCAAGACCAGTGGCAGTCCAGTTTCAACGTTTCCCGGCTCCCACCCGAAAGATGGAAACTCCACAGCAGCAACTGATGCAGTGAGATTTCAATGCCCTAACCAGGAATGTCTTGCTCCTTCCCCTGCAACCCATAAGAACAGCTCATGACATTTCAACCTTCTCTTATTTGAACTACGCTTCCTAACATGGACTTTTCGCCAGCTTCCAGCATTGTCTTCAAGCTTGACCCTCCAAAACTGCTTTGATACAAAGTGCTGGCAAAAATATCCCTGTGCTCTGGGACCTCCATGGCAGAGCCCCAGGACATGCCAGTACAAGGCAAGGTCTTCAGAGGAGACACAAGAATGTGGACAATATTCACCAGTGGTGAAAAATAAAGGTTTGGCTGTAAGGGGCTCTGCAAATTCATTCTGATTTAGCCAAAGTGCAAACAGCAGTAGATGGGAACTGGTGGCCAGTGATACCGAGCAGCTCCTTCAAAAGGCTGGGGCCCCAGAGTTCAGACCTACTGGCTTAAAGTACATCACAGCAAGGTAAGCTGAAGCCAGAAAAGGTCTCCTGTGTTGGATCTGCTAGACAAAACCCAAGAACAACAGGGGGCAGGCAGGCTTTACAACTCTGGGGGGATGACCAAGGAAGAGGAGAGGAAATGGTGCAAAGAAGGGTGAAGGCCTGAGGATGAAAACGGTCCGAAGAGGTGAGGGCAAACCATTGGTTTGGTTTTTAACAGGAGCAGATTTGTGGCTCTGCTGACCACGGAACGCAGCTGGAGGGCCTGTCCCAAACACACATCAGTGGTTTGAATGCAGGAGGACAAAGAAGAGATCTCAATATTCATCACTGTGAACCCTCAGGTCCTTGGCTCCACGTCATGATTTTTGAGCACCTCATGTAGGCAGTTCCAACAGGCAGTTCCAAAGATGTTGGAAAGGAGAGAAATCCAGCCTGTAAACACCCTTGGGGCCATGGAAGGCTTGTTTGGTTGGGAGAAGGCTGGTTAGAATGGAGAAGGATGAGGAAGCTCCATCACTGTCAAGCACGTTTAAGGCAGAGCTGATCCTGCCTTCGAGGAAAGGGGTGGAGAAAGGTCTTCCTTGGGTACATCTCCCAGCCCTGCTCCCTATTGTTTGAGGGTATATCAACCCCTTTTCTTTCTGTCGTTAGAAACCAGCCTGGCCCTCCTGTGTCACAGAAAAGTTGATGAGAAAGAATTGCATCTAGTTTTTAATGTAGGGTGGTCAAGAACTGCTCCTTAGGCTACGTGGTCTGGCTCAAATTGCTTGTGAGGCAACATTTGGTACGAGGCAGCTTTCTGGGGACAAGTTCTGGCTGCACCTAGGGAAGAGACACAAAGTGGATGCGCAGCCTTGCGCGCAAGTCGGCCTAAGCAATGAAATCGTTGTTCACCCTAACTCCTGCTGCATCCCCAACTCGCTCTCAGATGTCTTAAATTCACTTCTCTTGTGACACAGCTTCAATCTGTCGGGCGCTATCACACTTTGGGGATAATTCCTGTTTTGCTAACTGGTGGAGAAGGGTGGAGCAGCTCTTTCCAAGAAAGAAGGAATCTTTAGCAGCAGGACTTTGCCCAAAAAATCAAGTCACACACATGTTCTTGTTTAGCCTCCAAAAAAAAAAGGCGGGGGGGGGGGGTAGGGAATTGCACAGAAAAATCAGAAAACCTGAGATGCATCCTCCCAAGCAAAGCAGCCCACAGGCAGCTCTGTGCCCCACACAGTCTTCTCATGACATGGCCACAGCCCCACAGCCCAAATCCACCCCACTGAGCTGTTGGTAGTCAAAGCAGATCCTGTCACTTATCTCCTCTTATTTTACAGTGCATGTGGCTCATTGAGTCAGCTGAATTTGGCTTACATTCCTGCACTGAGACAGTCAATCAATACCATATTTCAAAATCTATGCAGAGAAGCAGAAGAGGCTGTGAAATTGCCTGGAAAACACATCAACGAAGAAAGCTCAATCCAGTGGGCTGTCTCTTGGATTTAATAGTTATTATTAATATATGGAGGTAAATACGGCTTTATTAGCTCCTGCCATACCCTGAGTACAATCCTGTATTATAAATAAATAGCAAAGCAGTGAGCGAGCGAAAACACCAATAAATAGCATCATACCACAGAAGTATTTAAAAGCCCCTAGCGGGAGGCTGTGCAAGTTGCTGTTTGAAGAAGGCTCAGTTAAATATAATATAAGATTGCAATAACAAACAGCGAGAGGTTGGGTGAGCCGCTCCCAGCAGGTTTGTGGCACTGGTGCTTCTCTGACACCCATTTCTGCAGACTTTAAGCTTTTGTTTCAGGGACAAGAAGTTTTTATTTGTTCTTTTTGGGAAGACAAGCTGCTACTCGGGCATAGATCGGGGTCTCCTACCTTTAATCTGGGGACAGATTGCCCATACGATGCCCCAAAAAAAGCATCGCGGCCTTTGACCTGGCACTTATCAGGAAATCTCATCTTTTTTGCTGGAAAGACAAGTAAGGGCACGACTTGGGGATGGCCCATGCTAACCGCTGTGCACGGGGAGCGTACCGTAAGAGGGACAACAGCGTCAGGAAGGGAAGGAAAACCAAGTGACCACACAGTTCTCCCAGGGGTGGAAGTGCCACGGCAGTACAACACACCTAGATGCCCCCTGCAACAAGCCAGGCAATGGAAGCTCGGCACTGGGGTGAAAATTTGCATCCAGGAGAGTTAAGAGTGCTGTCTCGCTCGCCTCCAGGAAGATCTGACTTTTTCATGGTTCGGAGTTCATTTTGCTGCCAATCAGTTTCACAAGAGGAACCTCTGAGGTTCATAAATAAACATAAATAGCTCAGATAGGGTATAGGGCAAACAGCATCTTTGCCCTCTGATATCCCGAAAAACAGGACCACGTCTTACAGGCAGAAAGGATGGATTTTATGAGCCTGTCTGGCTTAGAAAGGCTGACTGGATCTCCCTTGCAAGGGTCAGGCACACCACCCACCCCTCAGGAACTAACAAGCTGCTGCCCAAGAGCTGACCTGTGGCAACTGTCTGGGGACCGGCTCTTAGCCAGGCGCAACCAGGGGATAATTTCACTCAGTGCGTCTGGAAGGGAGGATGGATGAGCTAAGTCACCTCACCCTGCACATGCCACAAGCTGTGAGCTCCGCTGCAGGCAGCTGCCACAGCCCTGCTGATGGGCCATCACGCGAGCATCCCTCTGAGGCCCTCGTTCTCCACGGTTAACACATTGTCAGCCCTCCGAAAACTCATCTCGGCTCTCCCGCTATACCTGTACCAGCACACAGGTGCTACAGCTGGTCCCACACCACGGTTGAGTAGATGGGGGACAGCGTTCCCATCAGCATTGCTGGGACGGTGCCCTCCATGAGTTAAAAGTTCAGGTGTTTTCTATGGAGAGCAGAAAGTAAAAATGGCCCCACACAGGCACCAGAGCCCAAGCAGGAAAAATTGTACAGTTGCTGGGTTCTGTTCTGCTTCGTTTTGTTTTTTTTTTTTAATTTCCAGACACACTGCTTTGATTTTAAGGAATCAGCATTTGAAAACAATATTGAACCTAGATTCAAAACAAACCCATGATTTCTTTTTCAAATGCAGCTCTAGCAGGTTGCTGGTTCTGGTGCCCAACCCAAGTGAAGGGTCGTGCTCACTCCTTGCACTGACCCCTCCCAAGGCCACGAGCACCCTGGAGGCACTGCTGCCCGTTTCCTCCCCAAAGACACGGCAAGAGGCGGAAAAAGCAGGGTGCAGGCTGGAAACCTCAGCTGGCCAGGCTGCAGCAGGACTTGCCCTCGGTGCTGTTGGGTATACCCATCACAGCTGTGTGAGCACACAAGATAGACTCATCAGGGTTTACAGCCCTACCGTACCGAAAACAGCATCCAGCACAGAACGAGATGCAGTTTGTCCACTCAGATGCGGCCAAGCCAATAACAGATTTCTATGCAGAAAGTACCCGGGGACATGTGCAATCAGCGTGCTTTACCCCAGAATTAATTCTTGACTATTGTTGCGACTGAAAAAGAAGAAATGTAAAAGTGCTGTGAAAACTTACCCTTTCTAAAGATTTGAGAAGGTTTTGTCTCTCTTTTAGCTTTTGGATACTGATGACTATTTTGTGTCTTGCACCTTTGGTAACATTCTGCAAAAACAGCATATAACCTGGCATTAACATTTCCACAGGACAGTGGGATGAATCAAAACCCTTTTCCTCCTCAATGAAAAGGGCTGCTGTAAATTAACCAAACTTCTGAATGCAGGGATTAGTAGAGGACACAGAAAATCACTTAGAAACATTACTGAGATACAGATTTTCCGCCAGTCTGTCCCTCCCCTGGAGCATCTATCTTTATAAGCACTCACAAGAGGAAAATGTCTTCTCAGCTGCTTAGGGGAATTGCTTTAAAATCTAGTGTCGGATTTTAAATTCGAGAAGAACTGGCAAGCCCTGTGCCAGCACCTGCGTTTTCAGCGGCATGTCTCAAACAAAACTCTGCAGTGCGGCTCCACTCTGGACGCCGGTACAAACCCACCGGACCCCGCACGCAGGCCCAGAATGACTTGGTTGGAGATGGGGAAAACTAAGACCTCTGAAAACAGCCCCTTTAGTTTTTAAGGCAGACTTAGCTATTCAGTTTCTTTCCGGCTAGACACTGGTGTCTGATGAAGCCTCTGAACACCAGGAGGGACTGAAGAAATGAAAAGCTCAACGGTAATTGAGAAATCAGCTGAGCAGCAGGATAAATCCTGCAGGCAGGCACACAGCCCACAAGCCTCCCCTCCTGAAGCAAGGCTGTTCCTAGCCACTTATTCAATTCACTGTTTTGGGATCACGACTCGGAGGAAACTACCAACAGACGTAAATAAGCTGTGAAAGCAAAGGTGCTGACCAAGCCTCTTTATCTCAAGGATAACGCAGAGGTAAATCTAATACAGGGGAAATTTTCAAAGGTTAACAAGTAAACCAGCCACCAAAGTCCCGCTGACTTTAAAGGGAGTCGGATACAGAATACTGCGGCCCTGAAAATCCTAAACTGAATCCCAACCAGACAAAAACCACAAAGCAGCACTCAGCGACTCTGAAGAGGCTGCGAATGTCAACCCTGGACTCCTTCAATACGAAGCTCGGGACAAGGACTCTTTCAGGTACAATGTGTTTTTTCCACTCTCCCAAGACTCAATTTTCCTTTTCCTGTTTGTTTTTCAGTCCTCTGCAAGCAAAATGCATTCCACGTGAAGCTATAAAAGGAGGTTTTCAAGGCACCTCATCTACCAAGTGAACAAACAGTGTGTTCCTAGGAGTGACAACAGCAGCCGAGGAGGAAACGCGGCTAATTGCTTTACGACCGACTTCAGACGTACTTGTGCCTCGAGCTGGCATTCGGTGAGTGCCATCATTTCCTCGTATGTCATCTGAGAGAAGAGAGCCGCATACTTGTGCAGACGGAGACTCTTCAGCCAGGCTGGAACATCTGCAGCACAAAGGCAAAGAGACAAGAACTCCCTTTTATTTTATGACACTGTTTTAACAACGCACGATAACATCAACAACAGCACGAGGAGTTTATTAGGCGCTGGCTTCCTTGTGTCATCTGCTGTCCCACTGACGATTCAGACATTGACTGGACTTTAAGGGACTGCTCAGAGGAGGTAAGCCCACAGATTTTGATGGTAAAAGACACTGTGTGGCAGAATCAGCCCCTTAGACGTGTCCGCAGAGGCTGTTTCTGTGGATGAGCTGCAGTGAATTAGTCTGCTGGCTTTTGAAGCCTCTCTGTTCAAGCGTTATCGCTTAAATCAGTGTTAAACTCAGCATAAATTGTATAGAAATTGTACAAATTTGTTCCAGGGTTTGGGGCAGCCAGGACAGAGTCCCACCAACCTTGGTGGATACAGGCTTGCTAGCGTATGCTGCACCTGCTTTAGAGAAGGCCATAACAAAACTACTTCAAGAGTTGTCCTAACCCTAGAATACAGTTGAATGTAAAGAAAACGCCCTTGCTAGAGCAGGAGAAAATGAAGATGGCTAAGAGCACGGAGCGGGGAACGTATACACTGCCTTGTTTATGTGCACGATACACCATGATTACGGAAGTTTATGCTGAAGTTGCTCAACATCAGTTTGAAAACTGGGTTGGTCACCCTAACATCAACATCAGCTTGTAGATGGCCCAAGCTGGTGATGCCCCATGGAGAATCAGCTTTACGGCTGCAAACTGCCACAGTCCTGGCAAGATTTAATTGCTCTTTTTCTCCAGAATGCGGAAACCGCAGAAACTAATGCCTGGGTTGAGTTTAAGATAAACAAATGGCTGTTTTGCAGATGACATATACTGATTTATGACATGAGGGAAGATGGTATGCGCTGAAAACTTAAACAGCTGTTTGAAGAGAAATAAAAGGATTTTCATTCTACTTTAAACGTGGAAAAATGAAACATCATCAAAAATGGTTCTGCCGCCCATTTCAGAAGAGTGACTGAGGACCACTAAACACACTGACTGAAACGACTTCCTTCCCAGTTGCTGTCAACAGTGTAACGCATCAGGGCCCTGGCTGGAAGGATGCTCCTTATATACCTTTATTCTCCTGACATCAACATGCTTTCACAGGGAGGGATCTGGGAGGGGGAGTCCTTCCCTGCAACATGGAAACCCTCCCACCAGATCGCAGGCAGGGGTGTCCCCCCATGGAGGACTGCTGGGGGAAAAGGGGGTGGGATACCAGCTACCCCCCTCCAGCCAGCTCCACAGCTCCTCTTGGCTTGGCAAGGTTTGGGGGCCATTAGTCCTTGTCCCCTTTCTGATCAACAAGACCTCTAGGAGCCCAATCCCAGCTCATGCTGGCTGCAGTGCAAGCAAAAAACAGCGTTTGAGCCCCAAAGAGTGATAAATTCTACACTTCAAATGGAGAGAGCAGGTGGAGGGGAATCCTAGGAAATGAGAATACTGAAAATTGTCTACCCTTTCAGCTACATCTTAGAGCAGTTCATGCCCAACAGCTAGGAGAATAACCTTCATGACTGCATCCAAAAATCCTTGCTACCGTAACCAACTTCAGAGTTTTCTCAGCCACTCAGCACCCCCAGCTGCAAAGGATGAGGCCACAACAGCACCTTGCTTTGAAAAGGGATGAGACAATTTGAGGCGGACAGGCCCACTGCTGGCTGGGACACCCTTCGGTCCGGACGCAGTCCCTAGTTCAGAAAGCCTGTACAGACGCAAGGTAGACCTGTCTCACCTCTCTTCCCTAACCAACATCTACTGTCTCCAGAGGAGACAGGGCTAGAGGGACCTTTGGTTTGATCCCACACAGTAATTCCTACACTGGCAGCAGTTTCCTGGGCCTCTCAGAGAAATGCACTCCTACTCCAAGCTTCCTAAGCTTTGGTACATGAAGAATTTGGTCCTGTGCTTGGAGCACTGTTCCTTCTTCATACAACCCGCAGTGCAAGAATCCCGCAAATTGCTATTTTAGGAATCTTAAACCAAATCTCTGTTTAAAAAAAATAAGAAGCAACCAACAGAAAGTCTTCTGTTTCCAGTGCAGGTGGAGAGAGCAAAGACCGGCATGTTTGAATCTCAACTTCATTTTAACAAAAACATGCCATTTTAGTGATGCCACCCTAGAAAGAGTGCCTGATCCTTTGTCCCCCAGGGACATCTGTCTTTGGTGTACATTTATACCGATAAGAGAGTCCACAGAGACACTTTCCGAACGGAGGTGGGACCTCACCCACGCAATGAGCCCTGCAGAAAAGCCAACCCCGAATTCCCAGGCCTGACCAACCTCTGCCTTTGCAGATGGTCAGAGCACAGGAGCAGCCCTTCTCTCCCTTTGCATTAGTCTTCCAAAGCAACCTCTTCCTTCTGGGAGCTATAAAGGACCCAAACCCCTCTTCTCGGTGGCGACGGCAATGCTACGAGACAGCTACAGGAGAAGGAGGCACCTCGCTGCGCAGCGACACCAGGGCTCTTTTCCCCTTCCACAAGCAAAAGGGAGGCGTGAAGCCTTTTTTAAGGTGATTTCATGGTCCTTGGAAAGTCAACCTGCAGGATGCGGTCATTACTTCCTAATGATCCCCACAGAGCAAAGAGCTACTCTGTACGCACATGGAGTTAGTCTTTAATCACCCATTACTAGGACCTAATTGCTAAATCATGGCATAATTGTCAGAAATACTGTGTTTAGTGCTAGCTGCAAAATGAGGACTTTCATGCTGTTTGTGTGTATTGTCTTACATGCATTAAACGCCAGAGTTTTGCCAGCATACAGATATCTGTTTGCTGGCATGGAAATTCAGCAGGCCTGGAGGAAAACAATTCACCCTGCAGCCAATATATACGTGGGATGCCTTCAAAGTGCCCTTATGGCACATCGCATCCCAGCCCGTTTTGAACCTGCTGCTAAGCAACAGTCGTACTCACAGCAGAAACGCCCCCAGCTCGACCCAAACCCTTCTCCAGCCATGCACCGAGCTGGGCGCTGGGAAGGGCTCTGCCCGTGGGGAGGCCCGGGCGCGCTCTGCAGCGTCCTCTAAACAAGGGCAGAATATCTGCCTCCACCACGCACGCGACACATCTCTCCGGGGCTCCCTGGCTGTACTGCCAGAAATGGGGAAGGGAAAAAAAATTCCTATTCTCTAAACTCGTTCCTCTTTATCACCCCTTTGCAGCGGGGACTTTCTTTACTGTTGTTGCAGGCTGTATCATGGGAGCACCTTCCGAGGGCTGAACAACCCCATGCCGAAACACTGCGATGGGCAATGAAGGATGAAATTTATGTAGCTAGACAGAGAGTGGCTGAAGGAGAGAAATATGCTGCACCCGCCACCATGCCCACAGCTACGTAGCTATAAGGCTCTGATGCTCTGTGACACACAAAAGCTTCCTCAAAGAGGATGGTGACGGTAGGGGAGACACGCTGCAAAACGGGAAGAATTTGTTAAGCGATGTTCCATAAGGGCCTTCCTTGGCTCTGACTTTACCCACTAATTTCATTAACACCCTGGAGGATGGAAAAGAGAGTAAGCTTATTAAAGGCGGAGATGACAGCAAGCTGTAAGAGCCTGCAAGCACTTTGGAAGACACGACTGGAATTCAGAATCATCTCAGCAAATGGAGAAAATGGTCTAGATAAAATAAGACGCAATTCAATAAAAATGCACAAAGTTGTGCACTTACGTAGGAACAACGAACTGCACAAACAAAGCACAAGGAACAGGCAGTACTTTCTGATGAAGAGACCTGGGGACACAATGGATCATACAGAACCAGTGGCACTGGGTCATTTGAGCAACCTACTGTCATGGAGCAACAGGCGCCTGTCAACACGGCATGAGAAGCCAGTCTGCTCTGCTCAACTCTGATGAAGCTGGACTACTGAATCCAGCTTCGGGTAACACACCTTCAGGAAGATATGGACCTTCTGGAGAAAGCCCGGAGCAGAGGAGCGAGAACAAGCCAAAGTCTAGAAAATATGATCTGCGAAGAAAGAATGGAAAAACTGGATTGGTTCAGTCTGAAGAAGATGCAACTGTGGGGAGAAGACACAACAGCTCAAATATGAAACCAGAGGCTGTAGACAGGAAAGGAATCATCTCTTTTGCATGTTCCCTGAGAAAAAAGACAAAAGCAAATTGGCTCAATCAGCAACAGGAGAAATAAGGGTTAGGTGCTAGTAAACCTTCCTTCAGAGAAGGGTAGGGAAGCACGGGAACAAACAGCCCGAGGAAGGGAAGCAACCTCCCTCCCAGGAGGGTAAAAAGCAGAGGCTGGGTGCCAGGAAGGGGCTCGGCTGAGCTGACCCTGCCTCGGGGCAGGGGACAGGGTAGGTGCTCTCTCAAGGCCCCTTCCAGCCTCTGGAGCCATGACGCGCCGTACGCAGAGGTGTGAGGCAGGAGGGACTTTGCAGAAGAGCCACTGAAACAGCCCGACAGCAGGAGCTGGGATCTGGGAGACAATTCAGTCCTCCCCGTGGATACAAGCCAGCCTGCTGTCAGGACAATTCTGCCTGTTTCCAGGAGAGGAGAAGTAGTTTGAAGGTGATTTCTTTCGGAGTAGGATTCCCTCCGCAAGTCATTCTGCCACCTGCTCTCTGCCCACCACCCAGCTACGTAGCTGCAAGAAGGAGCCAGAGCTGGGTCTAGCCTGGTGACATGTGTTAACTGCTGTTTTCCTCTAGACCCGAGTGATCCTGTGAAAGCTGTTTTATCATGTGAAAACAGGCATGACTACTTAGCAAGCCAAAGGTGTGAGCGGAGCACGTGCTCGCTGGGAAAGCGCTCACTAAAATAAGCTAAGAAGTAGCAGCAGCGGTGGCACGTGGCGCGAGATCCCCCAGGCATCAGCACCCCAGGTGCCCGGCCTGAGCCCCCGCGGGGGTTTGCGACCTGCAAGCACGCGGGTGCTGCAGCGTCACTGGATAGTAACAGTGGGCAACGTTTACTTGTCAAATCGCCTCTCTTAATATGTAGAATTTATTTAATTGATTATTGCTTATGGACTCCCCAGGCAAAAATATCTCTGTTTTTTGCATTTTTTGCATTATTTGCCTTTTACTCTCAGAAGGCAACAGGAGAGATTTGGCAGAAAGTACAGCTTAGGCTGGGGAGGGGTCTATTACATTACACTGGAAAATTACTATCCACACAGGTCCCAGAGCTGCAGCTTTTAATCACATGGAGCCAAGTCCCCTGCAGTCTCTTCGCCAGCTCTATCAGCAGAACCCTGCCGTAACGTAATGTTAAACAGACCCCTCTGCGCCCTCACTCAGGAAAAGGGTCTCACCGGCTTGACAGACTGCAGGATCAAGCCCCGGGTGCAGAAAGCCTTGGGCACCGTCATGCTGATTGCAGATTAGTCTGCAGAGTGCTAACGGTGACCTGCGGGAGCCTGCCTGCCGGCCGGTCCCAAAAGAAGACTCCTGGTCGACACGTTTGGGCCCTGCGGCTAAGTCTCGGCTGCATCCCGGCGGGAGCTGGAAGAGGAGGCAGACAGCAAAGGCTGCGAACAGGATGGCGGGCGTGCGCGGAGC